TAAAAAACCGCCTTTCCATACGATTTTTGTGTACGTCTTTTTCCATTGATAACTACGCTATCTTATATTTTTTACATTTTGAGGACAAAAATTATACAAATCCATCAATTTTAAATATTAATATCGTTCTGAAAACACCAAATACTTTAAAAATCGCGATGTAACGAATTACTAAAATGGAACATTTTGGATACTATTTCCCAACGAATAGTAGTATAAAAATTAAGATCGGTATCACTGAAAATAAGCATGCCGACTTTGTCAAAATTACAACAAACACGTCGCTACTGACAACACCTTGTTATTATTCCACCATGCGTGTAAACCATATGAACTGAACACAATCCACAACACAAGCCAAGGGTGTCGTGTGATTGCTCGCCAAGTTGTAGCTGAGCAATTTCTATTTTCTAATTTGACAAACGTGCAAAGAAAGAATGAGAGGATATTTGTTCTTTGTCTTCATTTTATTTGAATTGAAATATATGTATGTACATATGTATTTTTTTAAATTGAAATTCATAACTATATAAAAAATATGGATAAAGACGAGCCATTAATTAATGAGATACAAAAGTATCCATTTTTATATAACCTCGTGGATGAGGATTATAAAAATACCTTCAAAAAAGAAGAAGTGTCCAAGCAGATTGGCCTGATAGTAGGTGAAGAAGGTAAGGACTTTTATAGTAGTTAATGGTTGTAATCATATATGTAATACTCCTATATTGGCAGTAAGAGCTAGTACCGTCCGAAAACACTGCAGTACAGATATATCAATAAACACGTACGAAAGAAAAGGAACACATACGTTTAAAAATAAACATGTACACGACACATTTACAAAACCGGCACTCAAGTACACAATACATTGACAAAAACAGTACTAGACTGTCTCGCTTTGATTTCGGAATGCTTACACATTGAGATGTTAGCTTACTATCAATATAGAAGTATTACATATATGGTTGTAATACATTTTTTATTATTTCCATAGCTACAACATGCAAAAAACATTGGAAAGGTTTGCGTGACCATTATGGAAGGTGCAAACGTGCAGAGAATCTTCCGTCAGGAAGCTCTGCATGCAAGAGGCCGAAGTGGAAACACTATTAACAGATGTCCTTTTTGACAATTATCTATACTGCCAGAGGTAAAATGAATTTATATTCTTATACAAATGTATCGGTATTGTAACATACATAATATTGCTCTTCCATGTAAGAACGTGGAGCAGTATTTCCGAGGCCGACCAATGCTTTATTGAGGTGCAGGAAGAAAGGTCAGAGCAAGCCCATTTTGCACCACCACCTCAACCGAGACGCCAAAATGACACGGTATGTACATTATTTTGTCTTTTATACCTAAGCACAAGTGGCATTCAAAGAGTTTTATGGGTGGGCTTTAGAATGGTAACCCCGGAGTATAGCATTAAGGAAAATATGGGAGGTAGAGGGGGGTCTAACAGTTCCCTGTATGAAGTTTCAAAGCGCGCAACCTTATACTTTTTAAGTAATTTGTTATTAAAGTTTGTTATTTTCACCAACTTGTATGGGACTATTTCACAATATATAATGCACTTTCCACTAAATTTACAGGTTATTTACACTCAATATATGCGCAGTTGGAGTGTGCACGTTCAAACAAATAAATACTTTAAGTATATTACAGCTTTTTTATCAAAAATTTATTGTTGTTTAATTTTATGAGAGTACATGCAGAATATGTGCAAATGGCAGCAGGACTGTGTTGTCATATCTACAAATCAAGAGTGGAAAGCAAGACCAAAAGAAAATACGATTTAAAGGAAAATACGATAAGGTTCTTTTGTCCAGATAAAAATAAATAGTAGGGGGCTTGGGGTCATATTCCCCTCTTCCGGCAACACAGAAAGGAGAATTCTACGTAGTGAGGGTTATAATCCCCAATTGCGCCCGAAGGCCGGCAACGCAGAAAGGTGCGATTGGCTTTCCTTTATGCCCGTAACCGTAACCAGAAAGGGAATTCTAGTTACCTCATCCTTTCCCAAGGTTACATCACTGGGGCGGTAGCCCCAGCTATGTCACACAGAAAGGAGAATTCTACGAAGTAAGGGTTATAATCCCTAAGCGCGGCCGAAGGCCGCCTACGCAGAAAGGTGTTCTATGCAAAAGGTGTTCGGCCCCTTTTCTTTGGCAACACAGAAAGGAGAATTCTACGTTGTGAGGGTTATAATCCCTAAGCGCGGCCGAAGGCGGCCTACGCAGAAAAGAATTCTACGCTAAAATACTGTGGACGCAAGTAAAAATTATTATTTATGTTGTTTTTGTTCCACAGAGATTTGGTACCCCTTTTAATGGGTACCACTGTGGATTGTACTGTTAGTTTTATTCAAAGTAACGCTTCTTTCTCTGCTTTGGTATTATATTCTTTTCCAAACGTTATTTCGGCGTTGTTTGTGAGCTCTGGGTTTTGTATATTATTATTTATTTTAAACTAAAATGACTGACGATCAAGCAGGTATGTTTTTAAAGTTTTAAGTGCTTATATTTATACATCTAGTAAATATTTATCGTATTATTTAAAGATATCGATACGCCCTCCACTAGCCGTGGTGTTCATCCACGAAATGCGACTGTACTGTGCGTCGCTGAAGTACGCGGAATGTGTCAAAGACTTTTGATACGCGTGAAAAATGTACCGCTTTCGCAGAGGTACAGGGTCTAATTTTGACCAGAAGATTATGCCGTACGCATAAAATCCCAATGACGGTTTCACCATTGGGTAACAACACGGTCGGCAGCTTTCGATGCCGCAAAGGGAGCTGCCGTTCAAGATCAGGCATTTCTAGGGCCACTGGTACGTGGTTTGAAAATGCCAAGCTTCCACTACCAGACATTTTTTACGTAATGTACGCCTACGCTTCGCACTGGAACCAGGCTGAAGTCCGAAAAGAAAGTATTACCGAGGGAACCGTTTTGTCTAGCGCCACCATCTGCGATTGGTACAACTACTGTCGTGAGGCAGTTGTTTTGTATCAAGTCGATCAGCAGGAGGTGTTAGGCAAAATTGGGGGCCCCGGTAAAATTGTTCAGATCGACGAGAGCAAGTTCGGGAAGCGAAAATACCACAAAGGTACCAAAAATTTATTTAAAAACACATATTCTTTAATTTATATTTTTTTTTAGGCAGGAGAGTGGAAGGCCATTGGGTCTTAGGGATGGTTGAGGACGGCAGCGACGATCCGAGGTTGGAAGTCTGCCCAGAAAATGTCCGGTCTGCTGAGGTGTTCATACCCCTCATTCAAAAACATGTGGCCGAGGGTACAATTATTTGTACCGATTTTTGGAAGGCGTACGATTGCCTAGCGTACCACGGGTATGAGCACAGAAAAGTAAACCACAGCGATCCGGATAACCCCTTTGTGGCAGACGACGGCACGCATACTCAAAGGATCGAATCACAATGGCGTGTGATTAAAAGATTTTTTAACAGAGACAACTATAATAATCCTCATAATTTTGCGGATAAAATTATAGAATATCTGTGGCGCAAAACAATTGCTCGTAAGCATGAGGACCCTTTCCTCAAACTTATTGACGCAATAAAATATACATATAAGCCTTAAAAATGTGTTTCAGTATTTTATGGGGGAATATGACCCCAATCCCCCTACTATTTATTTTTATCTGAACAAAAGAACCTTATCGTATTTTCCTTTTAATCGTATTTACTTTTGGTCTTGCTTTCCACTCTTGGTTTTTAAGATATGGCAACACAGTCCTGCTGCCATTTGCACATATTCTGCATGTACTCTCATAAAATTAAACAACAATAAATTTTTGATAAAAAAGCTGTAATATACTTAAAGTATTTATTTGTTTGAACGTGCACACTCTAACTGCGCATATATTGAGTGTAAATAACCTGTAAATTTTGTGGGAAGTGCATTATATATTGTGAAATAGTCCCATACAAGTTGGTGAAAATTACAAACTTTAATAACAAATTACTTAAAAAGTATAAGGTTGCGCGCTTTAAAACTTTACATATACCCCCTTTAGAACCCCCTCTACCCCCCCTATTTTCCTTAATTCCGTACTCGGTGGTTACCATTCTAAAATTTTCCCAGTTTTATTCTTTCTATAGATTGACGACGATTTCGGGGTTTTCCTAGAGGAAACGTCGAGCTCTCTCAAAGAAACGTGTGACTCCTTTGCAGCTGCTGCGAATAGAGCACCCTCGGCAACTTCGACATGTGCTTCCCCGAGCATGTTGCAAGGCATTGCTCAAATTGTTACTGCGTTGAATCTGAAACCCCAGGGGGAAGCGAAGCTAATAGGAAAAATCACGTCGTATGCATTGGAAGAAATCAACAAAATTGACCCTTCCCATTAACTTTCCCTTAATTTTAATATTTATTATAGAATGTAAATTTGGTTATTAAGCATGTGCTTACATACATACTATGTAATTAATAATATAATGCTTATGTACATACATACATACTACATGTGTAGTATATATGTATACATGTGTAAGTATACATGCATATGTGGATATGTATAAGTAAGTATATATCGATGGTCCTCTGCAATAGCGACACAACTCTAATCCTTGTGGAATCCATGTTTAATCCGTACTACCTACTTTAGTAACCCTTACTAGTTATTTTAGAACACCCGTCCACCTCTTCTAAAAGGGAGGAAAATGTTTTTTTATTGCAAAACTCAAAAAATATGAGCTACCTAATTGGCGATGCTTTATCCTTTGGTAGTATTGCCGACTTCCGGTTTCGAATGGAAGCGGGTTAAACACACCGAAACTTCTTTTTGAACCGGAAGTCCATTCCAGAGAAATATTTTAAACAAAATTATGTATTTTTATCCACAGAATCCGAAAGCGAAAATTGGCAGTTTAACCAACTTACGGTCTAGTATTTTATACATGATGTGTAGGGCTATTAGTAATGTATTCGCTGTCTTTTTGTAGCATTAAGAAATTGTGTAAAATGATTGTAGCTAACACAATTTTACCAACGTTCTCAGGATTTGCATGCATGTATGCAGAACTCGCCATCGATTAGCCAATACGACAAATGCATTTTCGATGTATACTCGAGCCTGCGATAAAGCTCTATTAAATATTTCCTTATCTGTTGGCAAAAAATGGCCAGGAAATGGTCGCATTAAATTTCTTTTTAAGGAAAATGCATTATCAGCTACAAAATAACGCTGGAAATTTATTGATGTATTAGGTAAAGGACGGTCAGGTGGCATTTCTAAAGTTCCGTTCAAAATTTCTTTACCAAAAGCAGTTCTGCTGAATATTCCACCATCACTTTGGCATCCGAACGCTCCGACGTCAACATAAGTGAATGTATAATCAGCATCGCAAACCGCTAATAATGTGATGCTGAATCTTTGTTTATAATTAAAGTAGAGTGAACCACTTCTCCTTGGGCAATACATATAAATATGTTTGTCATCAATAGCTCCTACACAATTTGGCAAACCGGTTTTTAAATAAAAGTCATTAGCAATTTTCTCAAATTCTGTAACATTCGGCGTTGAAACATAGATGGGTCCAAGCTCAGTGCACAAAGCTTCACAAGTCTCATAAATTATTTTACGGACAGTTGAAATACCGAGTTTATAGGCCCACCCCAGAACTTGTACGTTGCACCCTTGAGCAAAATACCTATTGGGCACAATAATGAAACTAGTATTCAAAAAGGAAAACTATGTTTTACTTACAAAAGCGTTACAGAGAATCTTGTTTCTATATCTATTGCAGGTCTACGAGACACTCGCTGCATCTTTTCTTTCAACAACGAAAGGATCAATTTATAAAAGAGCTCCTCATCTTGCATCTCCAATGTTTTCGCACAGGTTTTAAAAAACCCCAATTGCTGTCTTGATAGATTTGGTGGTCGTACCCACCATCGCCGTTTTTTCCATTTTTATGACCTTGTATTTTTAGTATGCTTTTTTGCACACTCTATGTGTTTTAAGGCTGAAATTATAAAATTTCCAAATAGCCCTTGAAGCTCCATTTTGGTGTAAACTTATAAAATTAAAAAAATTTAAATGTGTCATATTTTTTTACATTTAACGGCCTTGGCGCTCTCATTAAAAAATTAGAAGCCATGCACGCAACTGCAAATATTGCCACGCACCACATGCCCTTTATGTGTTTACAGCATAAATGTGCCACTTATTTCAAATAGAAATTGCTCAAAATTCGAAAAAACCGCGCCACTTACTAATATTGGGCATTTTTAGCATATTATTAGCAATAAATAATTGTTAAATGATAGGCACATGAAAATTGTAGGGAATCGAATTCTCTACAAACTTGTTTACCTTTTTTCGCGAGAAATGCAAAATTCGCGCGCAAATCGTAAAAAACATAAAATCCAAGATAGCGGACACTTCCCATATCGCAATTGGGGGAAAAATTTTCAATTTGTGTTCACCTAAACAGGAGACACCTAACTGCGTCAAAAAATTTCTTCCTGGAATTTTTTTTATTCTTACGTCGATTTTGGTCTAAAGTGATCTGGCTACGGGGCGAAAATTGCAACTGATCCTGTAACAAAGCCTTTTATGAGTTCACCCTGCTATCATCATCACGTATGTTCATCAGAGTATATCAACGCAAGACCAATTCATACAAGGTGATAGCGGGAGTACAAAAACTATAGGGCTATTCGCGATCCGGTGCAAATGGCCTAGCATCATTGCATTGCAAATTTGTATTGCAAATTATTTGCAATACACAAACAAAATACACGCATTTGCATTTGTCATGGCTTGGCAAATTTGCAATACCGAAAATCCATAGCATAAAAATGCTATGCATTGCAACTCTGGTTGACATTCCTATCAGCTGATTAACTTCATAAACAAAACCAAAGCTGATGCACAAAAATTGTTTTGCAAAAGCTTTACCATGACAGTTTAATAAACGTCGCTCCCAATCCTTGGTATATTTCTGCAATTGCATAAATTTGTCACCTCTTATGCACCGAATCGCGAATAGCCCTTATAACAAATTATACGCACAATGACAAACATAAACAAATGTACAACAAACACACCATTTTTGACAATCATTACAATTCGCATTGATATCAACGAGCAGCGTTGCTAGCTCTAATTAGATTTCTTTTCGTTTGTACAACATATGCGCATATGTACATTTACACAAACATATGTACATACATACAAACATATGTACGTTCATACAAATATATGTACAACCATTCAACATATGTAAATGCATGAAAACATTGCTGTCCATAAGTACATACATATATCCATCAGTATATCAACGGAGGCCATTTGTTCCATCATACATAATGTGACCAACTATTTCATAGCTCAAAGAAGTACAGCTTAGGTTGGGTTAAGTTAACGCCAAGTTAAGTTAAGTTAAGTGCCAGCCAAAATACTTCCATCTTAACCTCCCGAAGATTGGACAGTCTAAAAGAAGTGTGGAGATGATTCCACTCCATCTTCTCTTGACAGCTGATAGAAAAGGATCAGTTTAAATTCCTAGTCTCACCGCATGAATACCAATCACACAATGGCCTGTCAGAACCCCCATCAGAGGTAACGTGTTTTAAAGTGCCTTATAAAAACATGTGCTGCAGCAGAGGACCCGGTTTCCATTAGCCTAATAGCAGTTCGTGCTGCGACAATTCTGTCTGCAAATCCCCAGCGCCGTGTTCAACATATCGTCGCCATTTTTGTGATACCTAGGCAGCGAAGTTTCACTTCAAAAATCTTTAACTCTGAAATAGTTCTTCTGAAAGTGTTCTATAATAAGTAAAATAGCATTCACAAGTAATTTATGCAAACTTTCAAAAAGAAAACAATTCTGTTTGTTCAGAGAATACGAGCTTTTGATCTACAAAAAAAATGAAGTTCAGCGTTTGCGTATAAGTGGATGTACAAAAGAAATCCGGTTTTTATAATGAACATAAGCAGGACGATCACTGCTAACATAGCAAAGCAAACGACCGTATGGAACCAATGCCAAATTGCACGACTGGCAGTTTGTTCTCTGCTAGGAGGTCGGTGTTAAATAATTTTTCACCAGCAATGCTGCCAGATATCTCCGTTGCCAAACGGGGACGATTTGGTAAATCTAACACAACAAAATTTTTAAAATTATGTTTTGTAGCCCAGAATTTTAGTTAATTTTTGATAATTTTTTTGCTGACAGTTTATTAATAACCCCAACGGTTTTTACCCTCCATTCCCGCCCATCCGCACGAGGGGCGCAGTCTGCATGACGTACGGAACCAATATTTTAAATTTTTGCGCCGAGTCAGGATAGGCAGGAGTTTGTTAAGTGTCGAGATCTAAAACTGTTCAGCTACAGAACTAAATTCATCAGCTGATTTTATGTCTTTATGTTAATAATTCATTTATTGAGAGAGGATAGTATCGCTTTCTTAATGTTGAAAAGCGGATCAGATATATCAAATGTGCTGGAATGAGAGTTAAAATCCTGGCTCGTGTAATTCAAAATTAGTTTTACAAGTTTTCAAAAATAGGGGGTAAAACTGCCTTGATACACGGGAGGGAACATTAAGGCTAACTGCACCCAGAAGAAGCGGACTTGAAATTGAGCCTGTCAGTAATTTAACCATAAAAATTATACCAAGCATTTCCCTGCGACTGGCAAGTGTNTTCAATCGGCTCGTATAAGGCGGGAGGTTTTATTGAGAATCCCAACGGAAATTTCTTAAAGCAAAAAGTAGGAATTGTTTTTGGAGTGATTCTATCTTGTCTGAGTAAATTTGATACCTTGGATTCCAAACCACCGAACCGTATTCCAGAATCGGTCTAACTAATGTAAACAGGGTTTTAGTGATATAAGGGTCACTAAATTCTTTTTACCATCGTTTCACAAATGCAAGTACAACTTTAGTCTTGTTGACTGTCACATTAACGTGAAGATTAGAATTAAGTTTCGGATCCATTGTGATACCAAGGTCCACAAAATTGTATACCTGTTCCAAATTATGGTTATTACTCACATTACTATACATTTTTCCATATTTAGAGGCATACGATTTACATAGCACCAGTAAGCCATGCTGTTTAAGTCTGCTTGTAGCAAATGCTTTTCTTTGATTGATACGTGCGTTTCACATCATCTGCATACATTAAAAATTTATATTTGTTGATATATCGTTTATAAAAAGCAAGAACAGAATCGGGCCCTGAAGCAACATCAATGACGTCAGAAATATTATTTTTATACCCGAGCGCACTTGTGCACAAGGGTATTATAACTTTGTTCACATAACGGTTGTTTGTAACAGGCAAAACGAATCGAGATAGATATAGACAAATGTATACATAAATGATCAGAATGAAAAGAGAAATCGATTAAGCGGTGACTGTCTGTCCGTCCGTCCGTCCGTCCGTCCGTCCGTCTTTGCACACGATAACTCGAGTAAAAATTGAGATATCTTAACGAAACTTGGTATGTGCACTTCTTCCATCGTAGGACGGATGGTATTGAAAATGGGCAAAATCGGACAATAACCACGCCTACCTCCCATATAACGGTAATTTTCGAAATACGAAAACTGCGATATTTTAGTAACTACTGAAGATTATTCACTCAAAATTGATATTTACAATAACCTTTAGACGAAAAATAAGAATATTGTATATTTTTGGAAAATGGGCGTAGCCACGCCCACTTATAGATACATGTGTATATCTTGGTAACCGCTGCACCAATTTCTTCCAAACTTGGCACAGTTGTTAGTCTTGCTACAGCATACCAAATGGCCGAAAATCTTTAAAATCGGACAATAACCACGCCTACCTCCCATATAACGGTAATTTCGAGAAATACGAATTCTTCGATAAATCAACAAATATTAAAGCTAATTTACTCAAAATTTATGCTTGCAACAACTCTTTCCCAAGAAATACGTTTATGACAAAATTTTGGAAAATGGGCGTAGCACCGCCCACTTATGATCACATATATATATCTCGGTAACCGTTCTACCAATTTGTACCAAACTCGGTATGATTATTGTGCTTGCCACATAGAAGGAAAACGTTGAAAATTATTGGAATCAGATTCAAATTACGACCACTTTTCATATAACGGCAAATTTCAGAAATGCTTGAAACTTCAATATTTCGAAATTTAAGGACGCTAATTTACTCAAAACTGATACCTTACCATGTAGCGGTACCTGCGGCGGGTATTTAATGTTCGGCTCCGCCCGAACATAGACTTTCTTACTTGTTAAATTAACCCTTTGTGATCTATCATAGAGGTATGAAGAGATCCAACGTAGAAAATTAGGTTGAAGATCAAGAAGTATCAAGTTTATAGATGAGCAACGAGTGACATACTTTGTCAAATGCTTTACTGAAGTCTGTATATATAACATCGACGTTTTTGTTTTCACTAAACGCTTTTGAGGTATGAGTAAATTTGTTGAAGATGATTTGCCTTTGCAAAACCCATGTTGATAGTATGAAATGGTAGAGGATATAAAATGCATCAACTGTTGTTACACAGTTGTTAGTCTTGCTACAGCATACCAAATGGCCGAAAATCTTTAAAATCGGACAATAACCACGCCTACCTCCCATATAACGGTAATTTGGAGAAATACGAATTCTTCGATAAATCAACAAATATTAAAGCTAATTTACTCAAAATTTATGCTTGCAACAATTCTTTGCCAAGAAATACGTTTATGACAAAATTTTGGAAAATGGGCGTAGCACCGCCCACTTATGATCACATATATATATCTCGGTAACCGTTCTACCAATTTGTACCAAACTCGGTATGATTATTGTGCTTGCCACATAGAAACAAAACGTTGAAAATTATTGGAATCAGATTCAAATTACGACCACTTTTCATATAACGGCAAATTTCAGAAATGCTTGAAACTTCAATATTTCGAAATTTAAGGACGCTAATTTACTCAAAACTGATACGCTTACCATGTAGCGGTACCTGCGGCGGGTATTTAATGTTCGGCTCCGCCCGAACATAGACTTTCTTACTTGTTAAATATAACCCTTTGTGATCTATCATAGAGGTATGAAGAGATCCAACGTAGAAAATTAGGTTGAAGATCAAGAAGATCAAGTTTATAGATGAGCAACGAGTGACATACTTTGTCAAATGCTTTACTGAAGTCTGTATATATAACATCCACGTTTTTGTTTTCACTAAACGCTTTTGAGGTATGAGTAAATTTGTTGAAGATGATTTGCCTTTGCAAAACCCATGTTGATAGTATGAAATGGTAGAGGATATAAAATGCATCAACTGCTTTGTAATAATTGCTTCAAATAATTTAGGAATTGCAGAGAGCTTAGCTATGCCCCGATAGTTCTCCACCGAGGACCTTCTACCGCGTTTATGTAGCGGGGTTATGAACGACTCTTTCCATACAGTTGGAAAGATGCCTTCTTTAAGAGACAAATTAAATAAGGCTGTTAACGGCTCATAGAGATAATCAGCACAATTTATAAGAAAACAAGTGGGGATCTGGTCAGGACCATAACTAAAAGACTGTTTTAAGGACTTAAGGTAAACTAACACATTATCGGGAGATATTATTGGGGTAGGTATTGAGTTAATTGGACTTAGTTTAAAAGGATAGTCCAAGTATTCTTGGGAGTTAATGGAGTAATTGAAATTAAAAAACTGAGCGAACATATTAGAAATTTTTTGATTATAACTAGAGACGGTATTTTGATACCTCATGGCGGAAGGAAACCCACCTAACCTTCGCTTGGAGTGTACGAAATCATAAAACGATTTGGAGTTATATAATATGCGTCGTTTGATTTTACACAAGTAATCTTTATAACACTTTTTGTTCAATTCAAAGAACTTGTGATGCAATAGTGAGTATTTCATATACATATTATGAGTGTAAACCGATTTTTTTGTGTAATAAAAAATAACGTGACTTTCTGTTTTTCAAATTTCTCAGTTCTTTAGTAAACCATAACTGTGTTTGTTCTTCAGGAACACACATGCGTTTAGGCACATACCTTTTAAATAATTGATGTATAGTAAAATTAAAATGTGCAACGCTTTGTTCAACTTTTTCTTTGTATATAGGCCACGACGATTTAGACAATTCTTTAATCATTTTTTTAAAGTTGGCTTTCGAAAAATCAAAGCGAATATTTCGTTCGTATGTTTGGATACCATGATTTTGACCATCGTTTATAATTTCATAAGATATCTCTATAGAAGGGTGGTAGACATTTTCGGGCAAAACTAGTGGGTCACATTTATTTACAGCGGACATAATTTACGCAGAGTTCAGCCATCTCCTCTAAAAACACGTTGTTGCATGCACTAGACGAGAAAGGTACGATATCATTGTCAATGATGTTCCAACAGACATTTGGTAGATTAAAGTTACCCAACACAATCTTTAATCATCGAATTAATTGATTTCAGTAAAGATACATATTGTGAATACATTGATGAATCAGATCGGGGAGGAATATAGCATAGAGCTAAGTAAGTTAACCCCCTTCCAACCTGTACACGAATGCATTCGAATACTGCAGATTCAATGTGTGGAAGGGTAACTTCTTCAGATTGTATTGAAGAGTCTACGGCAAAGAGTACGCCACCGCCGATCCTGTCCTCCCGATATTTTCTGTAGATATGATAATTATTTGAAAGAATCTCTGAATTAAAAATGTGAGCAGTTTTAGTAATCAGGTTTTTGATTAAGTATTCTGACCGGGCCGCTGTGGTGTAGTGGTAAGCAGTGCGCGCTTCCACTCCACAGCACCTGGGTTCAAGCGCTGGTCAAAGCAACATCGCAAAAAATATAGAATAAAAGGTTTTTTCTTAACAGCGGTCGCCCCTCGGCAGGCAATGGCAAACCTCCGAGTGTATTTCTGCCATGAACAGCTTCTCATAAAAATATAATCGCCGTTCGGAGTCGGCGTGAAACTGTAGGTCTCTCCACTTTGTGTGACAGCATCAAGGCGCACACCACAAATCGGAGGAGAAGCTCGGCTAAACACTAACATATGTGTAAGCGCCAATCTATTATTATTATTATATATTCTGACGGGGAATATTTTCTAAATTATTATTTTTGTTGGGCCTATGCTCGAATTCACGAACGAAAGCTCCGGAAGGCCAAAAAGAACTACTAAGCAGCATGTCAAAATGTTCTAAGTCTACGTAAATTTTAAATGAAGAAATATTTCTTTCATATTTAAAATTAATTTTTCTGATACTTAAGTTGATAATTTTAAATTTGGACGATATGTAAAACTTTATATCGTCTTCGGAAGTATCCCTCGAAAATCTAGAGACAAATATAGACTTTTTTGTGGGAACCACAACCAGTCTCCTAGTATTATACTCGAGAACCGGCGGAAGGGGTTGAGTAACTGAGTTACTAATTGAGGGTAGAGCAAGCGGTAGAGGATTATATGACGGTGCCACAACTTCAACGGGGGAAGGGGAAGGTACTTCAGGCTCGTTGTTATTAGCAGGGGAAGCGCGCTTTGTTATACATTCTTTTGAGGATGACGACTCCGATGTCTGTGGACATGGAGAAGCGAGTTTAGCTAAGTCATTCTGAAGATTGATCTGACGTTGAGCGATTATCCTTTCATTAGGCGGACTATGAAGATGCTTGCGTTTTGACACACGAATATCCTTCATAGATTGTACGGTATCTAAGCATTTGAAGGATTTAAACACATTTTCATAATGCTTAAATTTTTCGGTCAGTACCGACAACTCTCTCCCCACATCAGAAAAACCATTTCTGGTTTGCCTAAACAATTTAAGGAGATCAACTTCAATTGACCTGCACATTAAGCAAGACCAGTGAAGACCTTTGCCATCATTAATAGCGTCCAGAATTCTTCCTGTCAAACCAGCACATTTTAGATGGCAAACACCATCACAGAGCCAGCACGATATGTAGCGTTCAGAATGGCTTTTAATTTGGCAATTATCAAAATCACACTTCATAGTAAAAAATTAATATGGTAATAAAAACCAAACAAAATAAATTATAACAGATTAGGAGCAGATGTATCTAGATTTAGAATATATGTAGCGAACAGTTTGAGTATCACTGTAATTATGACACTTAATTAACGCAAAGCAAACAGCTGTGACAAGAATTACTAAAAGAATTAAACAAAAAGAGCAAAAGAAATGTGCAAAAATAAAAAAGATTTCAGTTAACTACAAAGGAATTACAACAACAATGATAACAACAAATGACTCGGCAAGATTAGATGTATGCTAGTAAAATTTAACTAAATTTAATATAAAACACATCTCCTCCGCTTTGTGTGACAACATCAAGGCGCACGCCACAAGTCGGAGGAGAAGCTCGGCCAAACACTAACATATGTGTAAGCGCCAATCTATTATTTTTATTATTATTATTTTTAATATAAAACACAAAACTTTCACTTAGCTTCGATTATTTTCACACTAAGACGCTTGTAGGCACTTTTTGTAAAAAGTTAAACTCAGAATTGGCACAATAAACTTTGTAAATAGAGAGACAAATCAAAGCACAATATAAGTTGAACCTCACAGGAACAATGGAACACAGTCAGCAAAAATGAAATTGCTTTATTAATTGGCTAAAAAGCTACATTTTTTTTAAAGATAAGATGAAAAATTCTCTGAGCTAATAATTTTGTACGGCATTGTACCTATAAGTACACTAGGTTTCATGAAAAAAATGTAAGTAATTTGTTTCAAAACTTCCGACTTTTCCTTAATATAATTGTAGAACTCTGTACACGTAATTTTTAACGTATGAACTTTTTTATGTTTAGCGAATTTCTTTTCTTAGTCCATTAAGATGAAATAAGAGAAAAAATGTATCTATGCATATTAGATTTATGACTAGGTATGGCCAAGATGTATTAAACAAGGTGTGATGGACAACTCAGTGAGGCTCTCTTTTAAGGTACTATAACGTCAAAAAATATAAACAAATGACAACTCTTCTGTGAAATCGGGAAGGAATTTATACTTTCTCTTTGGCATTTTCTTGGGGTAATTAAAACCCTATAAAACCACATTTTTATATTCTATAAACTTTGTCGCTAAAACTTACATTGGAAGTAAACCATGCACAAACAACAAACGAGCAAAAAGGGCTAATTAGCATCAGGAAAGACACTTTGCACATTAAAAAGTATGTATTGTGGGTATTTCGATCATCAAATATTGCTCGTGCAAAGTTTAACTATCTGGATATGCAATTGTTCGGTCACATTGTATGCGCCCTTTAGTGCATGCGCCCTCTGATCCGCCACTGAACTACCTATCACTTGAATACGCTCCTGTACTGATCCCGAAGACGCTTAAACACTATCACTTGCCTATGATAAGAACAAGAAATTAGGCAAACCGCTAATTACTCGCCCTTGAACTTGAAATTTGTGTAGATATGTATGTATGCACATATGTATGTTTGTAAGCATTCGCAATTGAATGCACGTACATATAGCTATGGTTTTTGGCACATAGTTTTAGTTGCTATTGTTTTCGCAAACTGGTAAACTATATGTATGTATGTAGATCAGTAAATATGTTTGACTGCATTTGGAATTTCCAGGCATACATATTGACGCATATAACGTTATGCACTTTTGTATTTACCTTGGAGTATAAATAGGCACATTACAAGAAATAAA